TTTTAAGTGGGAGAACTTGCACAACTGGTGGCTGACTAAATACTTTTTTGCCCTACTGTATATTGATTGAAGTAGCATAAAAACACATTAAATCTTCAGATTTGCAGAAATCTGCTAAAAATAGTACTTTGCTAGAGGCATTAAACTCTTTGCCAAGTATCTGTGTATTACAGGTGTGCAGTATTCAAATCCAAAATGGGCACCCTCTCTGTTGGCTCCTCCTTAAAGAAGCCATGCCTTTTTCTGGGTTTGAACAGTAGCTGCACAAGCTTGATGTAAGGAAGAGTTCAGGAGGTGGTGATATGTGGTGTGTTCTAGGTCCAAAGCACCCTTGCCTGTTTCAGATCCAATGCCACACACATCAAATTTGTATTATCTTACCTGGAGAAGTACCAATGAATAACATTTCTCATTATGAAGCAACACATTATTTTAAATTAGCATCCTCGGGCTCTTGGAGAAATAGTTTGTTTTTATTTTGCAACATACACCTTCTTAAAGGGAAAAAAGTAATTTTGAAGTAATACATTAAAACAGCACTGAATCCTCAGAATGTTTTCCTTTCCTGCTCAAAAATCAGTAGATCCAGTCATACATTCAGGGCACAAAATGCCTTTATTGGGTCCAAGCTGAAGTAGAAAGCAGTTCCTAGTATATAGCAATTGAATTAATTTACATAGAATACTGAAGTAAATAGACATATTAAAAGGGGGGTGGAGGTGGGGAATCCATTCTTTAAAATCCCAGGCGCTTCCATAGTTAAACTCTGTTCATAGGATTGCCATATGAAATTTCAAACAAGAGGAACATGCTGGATGTAGAGGTTGTGGTTGAGAAACTTCAGAAAAGTATATGCAGGTGTTCCTTGCCCTAATCTAGACAAGCATCATGGAAGTGCTGTTCTTTTCACTTCAGGAGCTAGACACATTATAGCCTACTGGTTCCACTGAAGTGAATAGACAATGCTGTTCTAAATTGGGAAGATCTGTATTAAAGCTCTGCCATCTGTAGTAGAAAATGGGGAATATGCAATACATACTAGATTCTCAGCATTTTAAAGCACTGCAGTAGTTTGGATCTTGGCCATAATTTGCAGCCCTATAAATATTTAGCAAGAGGAAATTCCCACTGGAACTTTTAAACATTTTAAAAGTGCACAGGATTGCACCATTAGACCGTATAATATTCTGGCAATGCAAGATCATTTTCACACAGTAAAAAAGTGGTACTCTCTAGCCAAAGACTTAGCAACCCTAAGAAACCTCTTAAGTGCATGCAGTTTTATTCTGTTAGAGCAAGGGTCCTCAGCTGTCACAGTAGTTATCATAACCCATGGAAAAATTGGCTTTTTCTGGAATGTAATGCGCATGAAATGAAGACACCTTGGTACAGTTCACTCCCCGTTGTGTTAAAGGACAGATCTAAATATCTATAACCAACAAAAGCAAAATACAGAAGAAAAAAATACAAGTGTGGTTAATAGTTTGAAATTACACAGTTTTGAGGCCCAAATAATAGCTGTCTTCCTGAAGTACCAGGCTAATTTTGGACTTAAAAGCTTACCCGGCTTGGGTCTTGAATGGAGGACCACATGGGAATCCAGGCTGTTGGCCAGAGATTTCCAACCATTTCCTTCCTTACAATTGCCAAGAAAATTGCATGGCTGTGTCCATCTGAAGTATCTTTCATTGAATGGAAACCTGTAAATAAAGTCTGGCAAGTGTCACAGAATAGATTCCTTTGGTGCATATGGATGCCCATGTCCTGTTTGTACAGATTCCCAGTATCTGGTGCCCTCATTTCTCAGCTTGCTTTTGCTGGCTTTTAGCCACAAGGCTGCAACAGGATGATTGTGTGCAAATAAAAGTAGTAGCTTTTAGTATGCCACAACAAATGCATGCCACAGAGTCTGCACCAAATTTTAGAATGCAGCCCTGGCATTCACTAGTCTGGCTTAATACTTGGCCGTTTTTACTATTCAGATGCACAGGATGACTGAAAACTCAGAGCAATTACCCCTGCTTAGTCAAATGCTCGAGTAATAATAGTTACAGATACAGTTTACAAATGGAATGGGGGAGGGAAGGGAATTGAGCAGACAAAAATCTGAGGATTTCATTGAACTATGATAAAGTACTCTCATCTACATGACTATCAGAAAATTATAGAGCTCTACACACTATATACATTTATTATACAGTTGCCTAGACATTGCCAAAAAGATTTTAATAAAAGAGCATTTAACTACAGCATTTCAATTTCCATTTCTGTATTAACAATAATTTTTCTCTTAATTTCACTGGCTAAGTGTTCTTCAGTGAACATCTTACAGTAATTTCCAGATATCTGCTCACTTCAGTACTTCCATTTGAGAAAGCAACTTGGCTTTTTAAAAAAATGCATTACAATCCAGCCAAAATCACTTTAAAATTATAGCATTCTTGCACTGTGCTTCAGGCAAAAAAGCTCCCAGAATGCCATAATGGCTTATATATGATCAATAAAAACAAGTTAGTCCTGCCTGCAGGTTTACAGTCTAAATCTTGCTTATAGGTGCTTGGCTGGAACATACACATTGATGTTTGTTTGTTTGTTTTAAACAAATGGCAGACGTAGACGCCAATCTCTAATTCTTCAATTGTTTTTCCTGTCTTTAAATAGTAAGCCCTTCTTTCAGCCAAAACCCAAACTAGACAGTTTATCTAGAAATCAATTCTGTTTAAAAAATGCAAATGGAAAATCTTTGAACTTACATATTCTTAAGATAGCTTGAAGAATCTATATACCTGAAATTGTCTAAGCCTTCATCTATATCTGGCTTTTTGTTTATTGAAAAAATATATCTATACATCCTTCTTTTTATTTTCAAGTACCTAAGGCTTAGAAATCTTTGATTCTTTACATTTATATTTTCACTTCATAAAGAAGAAGAAAGAAAAATAAGATTCAGCGGGGTTACAATCTGTTAGGAAAATTCTGCACAAACCCCAGTGAATTTAATGTTTCTGCATTTTTTTGTATTTTTCATTCCTCAATTAGAGTCAAATTGATTTTAGTCAAGATTAAATCCTAACTCTTAAGATTTGATTTTTTAAAAAAGAATAAAGACAATTTTAATTGTTTAGAGAGATCAACTGTGTTTCTGAATTTTGGTGGAACATACCACCTTGGAGGATCTAGTAAATTACAACTGCAGAGAAATTTTTATTATAACTGGATAGTATCAACTCAGTACACTACTATGTACAGAGCAGTTTTTTAGCCATGCAGTCCAGACTAATCATGCAGTACATTAGGATCTGTAGTCCTTCTTGCAGTAGGGTTTGTTCCCCAAAATATTATCAATTTCATTCACAATGTGAGATGTCATCTTTGGAAGAACCTGTAGGCAAAGAAGCATACATGTACTTTAACTAGTGTTGCTCTGTGCTTTTGAAAAACAGGTTAACATTCCATTTCAAAGGAGCACAAGAAAAGTTCAGTTTTGTAATGAATTTAATTTCCATATGGTGATAATTCTTTTTGCTTTGGCTAATCCCCAAGAAAGCCTTTGTACTTGCCTGTATGGCACCGAGATTTTCTATCAATTGCTCTGCGTTGGATGATCCAAGGAGAACAGAACTCACACCTTCATTACGAAGACACCATGCTGGGAACATGGGAAATAACATAATTGTTAAAATTCTGACCAGCAGTATATTTCAGGCAACAATCAAGACTGATTGATTAGAACATTTCTAGATAGAACATTTTGGAGTCAGCAAAGATAATACTGAATTGGCAAACTTAATTCCCAGAAACTTTATGAGGCCTTTCACCTCACCATTGTTATTTTTAGTGAAGCATTTCTTAACTGCCTTTCAAAACTGCAGTCTTTCCACAGCATCTAGCAGTTCAGTTCTGTATCATTTCAATAAGTTCATAAAAACATACATTAATTAGTTTACAGTAATTCAGTAACAAGTTAGTTAAAGCAGGATATATAACAAATGTTCAATGAAATGTTGAAGAAAATATACTTTAATTACCTTTCATAAATGCCAAAGGTTTCTGCTAAGTTTCAAAACTATTGTATAGTATAAGGTTGGCTTTACTATACGTTTGGGTTTAACTCATTTATGAAAGATTCTCTTTGTAAGAACGAATGTAAATTGTGACTATTACCTGCAGCTTGCCATTCATTTTCGTAGGCATTAATGAGCCATGCACATTTTGTGTTGTTGATATTCTGCAAATGAGATAACTTGCCACACTGATGCAGTTTTGTATTTAATGGACATTCATGAAGATTACAATCTCGCTGTAAATACCTATCAAAGGTAGTGTATACTTGTGGAACTACCTAAATAAGGAGCATCCTTATTAATGGAATCTTTGCTCCATATCATGTTGTTAACTTAAATAATGAAATGGCTTTTTCAGTGGTGGCAATTAGCAGCACTCTGGAAGATTTAGTTGGCTTCTGCTTTCATTTATCAGGTGAGGCATGTTTCCTTTCCTTAGATTGCTTCCGCTGCTGCTGCTTTTCTTTTAAACTTCGCTGACTAGGGCTTCATTTGCAGTTATGGTCTGTGAGCTTCTTTGGCTGTGGGTGGACTTGAACCTAGGTCTCTCCAGTCCTGTGCCATTCCAATACACTTATTTCAGTTCATTTTAACTATGGCTATAATTCCATGCTTAGATTTAAAAAGGTGCCACTAAAATTACTTCAACATCGGAAGTATAAGTAAAGCAGACCCCCCCCCCAAACAATGGGATTTAAATCATGAGTACTTTAAGGCCTGCTGCTTTTGATGAGCAATCCTTAGCACAGTTAAATCTGGCTTTTAATGGAAGTAATTGAAGAAATGGCAAGTAGCTAGTGCTGTGTTCCATGAGCCATTTTCCATTTTCTCTTGACTGGAGAGAGTCTCTTCTATGATGATGATGATGGACTATGACTTATAACTACAGCTGCACCCAAGGTAGGTATGCTTCCTGGTTCAGAAATATTGCTCTATCAATATACAACATATATTCACCTTATTAATTAACTTAAATTTACACAATCAGCATATATTTAATTGGGGTTACAGAACCCAAGCTTTATTTTTTTTTCTTGCATCTTATCCTGGGATGCAGACAGCATTAGCACTTTTACATAAGCAAATAAATGCATAAATAAATAAAATTATGAGGTCAGTGGCAAATTCTGAAAGATAGCAATGACTTGTTTTTAAAATATGCCATTCTATTGCCTTTTTGTACAAATGATTACATACAGTTTGTTCCTCTACATGAGAACAAGCTTATAATGTCAACATAGTCAAGCATCACTAAGCAAGAGAGAGAAAAAACAAGGGACTGAGAGAGGTCCCCCAAATTCCTCACCGACTGCTAGCTGAGGTAGTGTGCATCCAAGACGTTCAGCAATTGGGAAAAGTTCTTTCAGCTTTGTTTGTTGCTTTCTCCCTTCCTCGCTCACAATTTTCTCCTTTAGCCACTGATAGCACTAGCAAATCAAAGCACAACAAAAGACAATCTTAAAATTTAAATCCAGACATGTGAATTTCAACTCACAGAATTTCCGCCTGGTTGTCATGCTAGCTGGGAATTACACATGTTGAGGTTCAGCACATATGCGGGGCACCACATTGGAGAAGGCTGGTTTACATCAGCCTTTAATTCTCACCTTCATATATATTCATCACTGTTATTTTAGAGTCTTATGAGAAAATTTATGTATTATACACACCATGAATATTGGTGACATTCTGAATGCATACACCTACACAGCCTGGTTACTGAATGAACCCACTTTCTGGCTTCATTCAACATACTGAATCAATAAAGTAACCAAACAACTTGGATTTGCACTCACACAGAAAAAGAACCACAGTTATTATTAACCAAAGTTAGCAAGTTGTGTGAACATGTTACTATTGTGTAGTAGAGAGAGAAGGAATTTATGATCTTCCAGATATTGAAATGCAATTCCCAACAGCTCTGACCAATCTGGCTAATGGTGAGGGTGGCTGAAAACTCTGGTTCAACATCCAGAAGGACTCAGATTTTTATCCATACTGTGACCTTTCCCTGATATCATTAGTAAGTGTAGCCATTAACCATACAATGACCAGTACTCATGAACAAAATTGTTCTAACAAGAATGGTTGGGGGTTGGGAGGTAGGTTTACTTTTATGTTGTTTTTAACCCAATATATTTAATTCATGTGCCTAATATGAGCTAAGCATAACAAAATCATTTGTCTGTCAATCTCTTGTACTGGAGAAGTCCATCTGAGATGTGGGGCTGTGAAGACTGCTTTTTAATACACCACAATAATTGCAATGCATTGTGTCATCCTTCAAAATGGCAAACAACTTCTACATTGTTGCCAAGAAAATTGTCTAGACATAGGTGAAATATTTAGACAAGTTTGGATGCCAACTGACTAGATTCCCAGGTCAGAAGGCATGTCTTTAATTACTTGGGGAAAATGTTGAACTTTCACAACTGGAAGTGATGATGTGGCCTGACCAGAGCCAGAAGGAAGTCTGGTTACTGATGGTGCCAGCTCTGAAAAAACAGTTCTTTGTTTTACAAGTACACATAATTACTTGTAAAAGTACACATAGTTGGAAGAGGAAATAGAAAAAGCATCAACAAAAGCAGAAATGAAGTATATTGATTTGGATGTTCTATGAATGAACTTAAATGGTCTGGAATAAGCCATTTTAAATCAGATGATTAGATGATTCAGACAAGACAATATGAAGAACCAGAATGGCAATGATATTCAAAAAAGATATTGCTAAGAATGAGCTTAGCTATAATCCAATAAATGATAGGTTCTTATCTAGTAGAATTAATGGCTAACCAGTAGACATCAATGTTATACTGATGTATGCATTTAATGCAAATGCAGTGGTTGAAGAGACTGAGAAATTCTATGGCAAATTGTAAAATGGCAAACTGCAATGTCTAGAAACAACACAGTGTCACTAATGGGTGTTTGGAATGCAAAAGTTGGAGAAATGGAAGAACCTGGAACTATAGTTAGATTCCGACTGAATAAATGCAATAAAACAGAAGATGGGTAGAGTTTTGCAAAGAAGATCTTTGTTCATTGCTAACACTTGCTTCAAGCAACATAGATACAAACCCCACAAATGGAATACCAAGTGGACATCTATCTATCTATCTATCTATCTAGCTATCTATCTATCTATCTATCTATCTATCTATCTATCTATCTATCT